GTAATTTAATGTGAATGTAGGCTGCAAATGTGTTACTATGTTCAAATGTGAACATAGGCTTTAAATCTGGTAGATTACTCATGTAATAACTGATAGTTTTAACACACTTAAGTAGATTGACTAGACAAGTCTTAGTTAATGACTAGGAATAGCTGTATGTACTATGGAAGAGACCATATGCAACAAACGAGTAATGTGTGGCAGAACAAGCTACCTATCTGTGATTTGGGGAGAATAAGGCTTCAGTGATAATTAATCATGGGGGGAGGGGTATGTACATATTATTGCTTGGTAATATAGGTTTAAGGGAATTATTGGTATAGGCTATTCTGTCCTTAAAGCGCATCAGCCATTCCATATGCTACAGGTAAGCCAGTCTTCCTTACCTGGTATCGTCCCATTATCTTCTCTGGGAGATTATAGAAATTGAAGCCTAATACAACTAGAGTGTCCCGCATTGGGGAACAGACCATAGATGGCTGTGTTCTTTATTGATGTAATGCTAGGATACATTTTTTTTATCATTTGTCCTTTAATTATGGTACTTAAGCCAGTTTTGAACATGTAAAAATAATAGGGTAAAAAAATCAAATCACTTCCAAGTATTTCAAATACTATAGTGTTATGAAAGCTAAATCGTGGATTTAACTGCTAAGTTGATTACTTGATCTCCTCAGCTTAAATAAAGCAGATGGCCTCCAGTATTATAACATGTTTGATTTCTATGTAAAACATGTCTATCCTGTTTTTCAGACTTGTAGTTTAAAAATTGCATTGCAAAAAATAGGGGATGAGAAAAGGAACACAAGACTATTTGGAAACCTGTTTTTAACTTTTTGGCTTTCATTCTAACCATAATGATAGTATAATGCTCAAATACACCCTGGATTGTTGGTCTAATGCAGTGGTGGCGAACCTATGGCACGGGTGCCAGAGGCGGCACTCAGAGCCCTCTCTGTGGGCACGCGCGCCATCGCCCCCATCCTAGGCCTTCAGCTGGGTTTTATAAAACCTTTTCGCTTTAGGCCTCCGCCACCGTGTGCAAAAAAAAAAGGTTGAATCAATCAGTCAATTTCAACTTCTCGTGGGGAAAAAAAAGATCTTGCAAAGTTGGAATTGATTGATTGAACTTTTTAGTCCCACCCAGTCTGCCGTTACCACCGCAGCCACACCTACCCAATAGGCCACACCTACCCAATTGGCCACACCCAGCCAATGGGCCACACCCACCCGGCACCCAACAATGCATAAGTGGGTTTTGGGTTGCAGTTTGGGTACTCGGTCTCTAAAAGGTTCGCCATCACTGGTCTAATGTCTTTTAGTAATGGAGATGTTGGTCTTGCAGCTACCCACTGCCTCTCTCTCCCCCTACTTTCTGGTGGGATGTTTGCTGATTGATAACCCTTATCAGGAGCACAGTTGGTGACTATTTTTCTAACACAGATGAAGAGTGGACTGCAATCTAAATAGTGCAGAATGCCAGAAGTTTCAGACCTCAACTGTAAAGAAAAAAAATATTTCAAGAGTCACTACTAAGCTCCCACAATGAATAATAATTAGTACAATTCAGAAAGACAGAGTGAGGGGAAAATCTGGGCCTGTATTTTGCAGCTAGGTATGCTGTCAGTTCAACGTTAGTGCTATAGGACAGGGGTCCTCAACCTTGGCAACTTTAAGATTTGTGGACTTCAACTCCCAGAATTCCACAAGTCTTAAAACTGGCTGAGGAATTCTGGGAGTTGAAGTCCACAAGTCTTAAATTTCCCAAGGTTGAGGACCCCTGCCATAGGACATGTAGGAGTTTCAGGGTCAGAGTTCACCAAGCTATTTGTGTTGCTCACCATCAGAGCTAGAAAGGATTCTTTTAAGGCAGTGTTTCTCAACCTTGACAATTTTAAGGCATGTGGACTTCAACTCCCAGAATTCCACAGCCAGCAATGCTGGCTGTGGAATTCTGGGAGTTGAAGTCCACATGCCTTAAAATTGTCAAGGTTGAGAAAAATTGTTTTAAGGCATCCTGGTCTATCCTTTGCTATGTGCAGGATTCACAATACCTATATACCTCCTGCCTGAAAAATATCCAGTGAAAGGTTGTGGAGAAAGGAATACAATGCTGAGGGGAAGAACCATGTTTATTGCAATGATCAGTAGATACCTGCTTTCCAAGAAAGAGGGAATCCCAAACAACAGAAAAGTAGAGATTCTTACATATGTTGGGATTGAGAGGCAGAACAACTAGGGATCTGATTCATGTACAGGTGTTGGGGAAGTGAGATAACGGTTTTCTGTTGTAAAGCAAAAATTGTGTTGTCTTGTTTTTGTAGCAAGACAATTGAATTGAGAATGCTATGGAGGAGATAAGCAGGATTCACTCTTGATTAGAATGGAATTCCTGCAGTTTCTCATCTCCTAAAACAAAGTTTCCTCATTAAGGCTGCCCCCTTGGTCAGGGGTGTCAAACTCGCAACGTCACATGATGTGTCACGACGTATTGCGACTTTTTTTCCATTGCCAGCAATGGGGTGGGGGCGGTTTCAGCATGACGCATCCGGCCCGTGGGCCGGCAGTTTGACACCCTTGCCCTAGATGAACCTTTATGAAGACCTAGATGGACCTTTATGAAGACAGGCAAAGGCTTTCTCATTGTTTTGGCTGTGATGGGACTAAAAGGGCTTTTGCTGCAGTGGAAACATGATGTGCCACAGCCTGGGGGTGGTTTTAATTTTATATATGGAAATGGGAAAGCAGCAATCAGCAGAGGGGAAGAGGAAGTTTGCAACGGGAGAAGCAGAGGAGGTGGGTAGGGGGAGTGTTTGCAGCTTAATTTCATTATTGTTTCATCACCAGAAATGTTCCTAACAATGTTATGTGCTACAGTTTGTCTAGCTCAAGGGTTCCCAACCGGGGGTGCTCGCAACACCTGGGGGTACGAAAATTTGGGCTTTCAAAATTATAGCGTATATGCATAATTCGTTGCCGTTATTTTGAACTTTTGTAAGGGGTGCGAGAATATATCAGAAGCGTTCTAGGGGCGTGGGGTATAGAAAAGGTTGGGAACCGCTGGTCTAGCTCATTGATTTCAAACCTATGATGTGTATGTCAAAGTTGACATGTCACCACCAACACTTGACAACAAGTTTCTCAAAACCACAACTCTGAAAATTAGTTGTTTTACTTGTATTTCATGTTTGTAACCATTTAATGTTTCTTTATATAATGCATAGCACCTCATGATTGGACTGTAAATAAATAAATAAATAAGTATGCAATAATTTTTGTTCTGCGGAAGGGTGACAGGCCAGCAGAGTCAAATTAGGCATTTTCTGAATTTTTGCCACAGTGAGCAAGAGGTTCATCATTGCTGACCTAATTCCTTACTGATGCTCAATATTCAGAAGCTTCTACCTTGTCTGTAAGTGGCCCTTACATATTATAACATTAGGATAAACAGGGCTGGAGTTTACAATAAAATCTAAGAAATAGATTTTAGGATTTAAAATTTTATATCTTAAAATATCTAGAGAATAATTACAGTGCACAGTACAGTCTACAGCAGTGTTTCTCAACCTTGACAATTTTAAGGCATGTGGACTTCAACTCCCAGAATTCCACAGCCAGCAATGCTGGCTGTGGAATTCTGGGAGTTGAAGTCCACATGCCTTAAAATTGTCAAAGTTGAGAAACACTGGTACAGTGTGATCTGGTTACAATATTATGCATAATCAGTAAAAAAATACATAGTTAACCATAATTTTAATACTACGCAGGTTATTCAGTTTTATTTTAACATTCAGGTTTAGACCATACTGTAATATAGATTCTACCATATCCTTTCTCTGTATTACCCAAAATGTGAAATTAAAGTAATATTTTTTTCCTTCGAGATAAAATCTGGAAAAGCTGCCAAATACCCAGGGAATTTTTTTACAATATTGCAGCTATCTGAGAACAAAATTGTTTTTATAATCCAACATTTACAGAAGTTTCAACATAAATTTACTGCTTTTTAGACAGATTTGTTCAGTATTATAAGCAATATTACAGGAACATGTGAAATATTGTTAAAGTTTAGACGTGTGCTGAATCCAAATTTAATCGTATTCTTAACATTGTACTAATGAATGGTACTTAAAAGTAACTTTTCTGCATCAGCACTTGTATTTCCCAGGTTCCAGCTTTCTCTTTTGAGAAAGGATTATTGAGCATGTAGTATAGGTAATCCTCAACTTACAACCACAATTGAGCCCAAAATTTCTGTTACTAAACGAGACATTTGTTAAGTGAGTTTTACCTTTCTTGCCACAGTTAAGTGAATCACTACAGTTAAATTAGTAACACTGTTAAGTGAATCTGGCTTCCCCATTGACTTTGCTTGTCAGAAGATCACAAAAGGTGATCACGTGACCCTGGGAGTGCAACCATTATAAATATGAGTCAGTTGCAAAGCATCTAAATTTTGATCACAGCAGTTGTAGGTGTGAAAAACAGTCATAAGGCATTTTTTTTCAGTGCCGTTGCAACTTTGAACAGTCACTAAATGAACTATTGTAAGTTGAGGACTACTTGTACTGATTCAGCTGCAGAGCACCTGTTTTATTTCTGCCAGCTAATGGTGGATTGTATATCTCAGGCAAGCTGGGATATTCTTATTTTTTCCTATAGGTTATTCTATAATTAAGGTCCCAGATCAAACAGTATTTCTTAAGTACGGGGAGGTTTTTTGTTTTAAAAACCATGGTAGATATTTTAAAATTAAATTATTGCTGTTGCATAATTAATTTGTATTCTTCCAGATAAATTTACTAGATGTAATAACTGATGGGAAGATATTTTTTTTTAAATGTGAGCACATTAGAAGTGATAAGCTTGTCGTCTGCTTTCATTGTGCAATTTTATAGACTTTGGCATGTATGTGCATTCTGACAAATTGTGTGTAGCATCTTGGTCTAAATGTGATAATTAATATTAAGATTGTAAATTAATTTTGTCTCCAAAATTAGGAATTGTGGAGATTATGGCATCTGAAGCTCAAAATGATAGAAAACGGAACCTGTTATATATTGAGGGTCGTTCTATTGATCTCCCTAAGAAAAGGAGCTCTCATTCCCTTAGTGAGAATATGAAGGAGGTAAGCTTTTTGTATATTGTTTGTCTAAATCTTACCTTTCGTATTTGAATACTAGTTTTAAAAACTAATACATGTCATTTTACTGTTCAGTAAATGTATATTGTGAGAGGGCTGCTGTTTATAAAGGACCATTAATCTTCTTATTAGATATCAGCAGGTGAATTGATTTGACTTGGATATAGGATTGAATAGCTGGTGCTGGTTGGGTACTTGAATGGTAGATCTGTGGAGAAATCCAGGGATTTAGATCAGGGAAGAAAATTATCCTGAAAGAAAACATTGATAAACCACATCAAGATGAGTAGATTATTGTGTCCATTAAGTCATCAGAACTCAGCTTTAAAGAATTTTTTTTTGATATATCTATATTGCAAATGCTTTGTGAAATATTATCTCTGAGAAAATGAAGCATATGTTGGTGGTTGTTGTTAGTTGTGAAGTCGTGTCCGACTCATTGCGACCCCATGGACAACGTTCCTCCAGGTCTTCTGTCCTCTACCATCTTCTGGAGTCCATTTAAGCTCACGCCTACTGCTTCAGTGACTCCATCCAGCCACCTCATTCTCTGTCATCCCCTTCTTCTATTGCCCTCAATCTTTCCCAGCATTAGGCCCTTCTCCAGTGAGTCCTTCCTTCTCATTAGGTGGCCAAAGTATTTGAGTTTCAACTTCAGGATCTGGCCTTCTAAAGAGCAATCGGGGTTGATCTCTTCTAGGACTGACCAGTTTGAACGCCTTGCAGTCTAAAGGACTTGCAGGAGTCTTTTCCAGCACCATAGTTCAAAAGCCTCAATTCTTTGTTGCTCAGCCTTGGTAGTCTTATCTAAAAGGCATCAGAGCTTAATCTTCATGTTCACTTCGAGACTTGGAATACAGTTTATTTTGGGATTAGTGGAAATTTGAGATGTAGCCTTACCTGGTAAAACAGATTTACTTGTACATTAAACTATAGTAAAATCTTTTGCCTTAGAATCATACATAAACTCACTTGTTATGATTTGACATTTTCTGTGGATGCAACTAATATATATTCTTGTGGAACAGCCCATTAACAGATAAGACGACCCTCAAATTGTTAACCAAAATACCATGAAAAATGTGCCTCCCGTAAATAAGCTGACCCTTGAAATTTTATCATGTTTAATTTTTATAATTGGCTTATCCGTGGGTGAGAGAGGGAGAGGGAGAGGGAAAAAGAGAGAGAGAGAGAGAGAGATGATATAGAATATATAGAAGAGTAGGAATATATACATAGAAAAAAGAATTGCCTTCTGTCAGTAGCAATAGACCTCAGCAGAGTTATGTTCACTAGCAATTGTTGTTCGTCCATCGATTTTCAATGAAGACCTTGACATCTTGTGGATTGTGGGCCATCAACGGTGTGTCCGTAGATGGCTGATGAGACCGATGTTAGCACAGAATGTTCTGCCACATACTGAACAGAGAAATGTGGACACTGTTGCTTCAGCATTTGCAGCTCTGGCTTTACGGAGTGCTCGCTTCTCTTGTGTCAAGATTGTCCTCCTGTGTTCATATGTCTGCCACCCCTGGTAAACCAGGATACGCCATGTCGGTCGATCATGCGCCAGAGATTCCCAAGAGATGGTATCGATATCCAGGAACTTGAGAGATGCTTTCAGCGTGTCTTTGTATCGCTTCTTTTGTCCCCCATGCGATCGCTTTCCTTGAGACAGCTCACCATAGAAGAGCTGTTTAGGGATGCGATGGTCTGGCATCCTTACAACGTGGTCTGCCCAGCACATCTGGGCTTTCATCAACAGAGTGTAAACTGATGATAGGCCTGCTCTGGAGATGACATCTGTATCTGGTATCTTATCCTGCCACCGGATCCTCAGAATTCTACGAAGGCAAGTCATGTGGAAGTAATTCAGTTGCCTAACGTGCTTCCTGTACACTGTCCAGGTCTCACTAGCATACATCAGGGTAGTTAGCACTGCTGCCTGGTAAACTTTAAGCTTAGTAGCAAGGCTTATTCCACGGCGGTCCCACATGTTAGTTCGCAGTCTGCCAAATGCAGAACTTGCCTTGGCAATTCTACAGTTGACCTCGATGTCAATTGTCACTGCGCGGGAGAGGGTACTACCAAGATACGTAAATTGGTCCACTGCTTGCAGTTTTTGTCCNAAAGCATCTATTTATTCAATCATCTAGTAACACAATAAATACTAGCTAAATTGATGTTCTGAAGTAAGCCACTTGCTATATTTTAAACCATTGGTATAGAATGCAATAAATTATTAATTGTTATGTAATGATTTTAGTGAGACTTTTTTCCTAATGTCAAAAATGACATTGTACTTCTGATTGTAGTACAATGTTTTTTCATACTTCTGATGTCATAATCTCTTCTGTCCTCATGGATGTCATAATATGTTGTATTTCAGTTAAATAGTCAGAGTTGCCATTGGTAATTTTACTTTTCTGAAGCCAAAACTAAAGTGATTTTCTCCAAATACAATCTAAACTAAGTGAACATGCATTTAAAAATATGGGTGAAAGGTATTGCTACTAATGTAACATTTTTAATGTTTATTTCTAGGATAAGAAATCTGCAAAACATTTGGCTTCTTGCACAAGCAGGTAAGAGCTACCTTGGTTGATTGTGAGAAAAGAAGACTAGTGTGTTTGGAAACAGAAATCCTTCTGATTTAAATAATCAGTTGAAACTATTGAAAGAGGGCATCTTTTGTCCAGGTCACTTAGAACTAAATGCTGTTAGCATCTTTGGCATGCCATCATGAAACAGTTTTTGGGTCCCATTCCATCTCTTGGTACTCATCTCTAATTGGGCTAAAAATAGCATTATCCTAATGTCAGAGGCATCTGATAAAACTGATTTGTCACACTGTAGGAAGTCTCCTGGTCATGTAAATTTGTCTATAAGGAATTTAATTTCCACACCTATACCTGTTTGGTGGTTGACTAGAAGGAAACATAATTAACTGTCCGAAACTGCTTATACAGTTCCAATTCCCGGGGTCTCTGTGGCTGCTGAGCTATATACAGCAATTGGTCAGAAATAATGCCAATCTTTTTTTTGGACCAATATATTGCGCAAATGTTTACAGGGAGGTAATGGTGCAATATGATACTTTTATTGCTGTATCTATTCTCATTTTTCCTCAACTTTTTATGTCCTGGGGGAGAGATACGAGCATGGACATTTTTAGGGGGTAATGCTTCAAATAGTGTTTCCCACACCAGATTTGAGGCATGTCTTTCATATCTAATAGCATTCTCATAGTAAATGCAAGATGATATTCTGGCACAAAAGATTCTAAGATTGCATGTGACTTTATATTGCATGTTGCTTGGATGTTTTATATTCAGGTGTTAAATAAACTTTCTTGTTCTTGCAGAACAACAGTTGGACAAACTCTAACCAGCCCCCATTCTCTGTTCAAAGTAGTATATTGTAGAAGAAAAGCTCATTACTATTCTCCAAAGCCTTGTTTCAAAAAGAAACAGCTCCCTAAAGTTAGAGGCCGTGACATGGCAAATAAGGAAAATGAACTAGCCTGTGCAGGTAACCTGCCAGCCAAATTGCCTCCTGATGGTCGTACTTTCTTACTGAACTCCAGTGATGCTGGCCAATCTCAAACAGAGAGTCCTTCATCAAAATACAGTGGATTTTTTTCAGAGGTAAATTAAACATTTTATATTTTTAAAAATTTATGAATCAGAATATAAGCCATTGGAATTCTGTTTAGTTCCTCTGTTTTACTGTCTATGTTGGGATTTGATTACTCTTTGCTATAGACCACCTATCACCCAAATTTGCTTCGGTGTAGGGATTATGAGAACTGTAGGGGGAAGATGTACCAGTGAGTAAATAAAATCCATCAGCATAATTATAGAACTGAATATAATCCATTTTATTAATATCAAAATGATTTAATATAGTAACTCAACACTGCAAGATCTAGAGGCTGTCTGGGAACAGATGGGGAAAAGCAAGCTCATACTAAATCCTACTGAGACTGTCTTGCTGTTTGTACATTAACATCTAAGTTATCTGGGAACATTAACCCTGATAGTTGGTCTAGCCAGAATCATGTTTTCCTAAAGGAGATGATCTGTATCTTGAAACTTCTCTTGAACCCTCAGCTTTTGCTGCAGTAGCAGGTGCTACTGGAGGCCGTGTTGCCTGATGCACCCTAAATTGACCTATAAGCCCTTATGATAGTAACATAGGCTCATATCACTGCTTAATCTGATTTCTTCAATGTGCATTATGTGGAGATGCCTTTGAAGTCAACTTAAAAGCTTCAGCTGGTGCAAAATATAGCAACTCTGAGAACTCTCCACAGCAGAATTATTCCTGCCCTGGCCACATTGGTTGTCAGTACAGTATGTTTTCTGGCCCAATTCAGCATATTGTTCATTAGCTATGAAGCCCTATATAGTGTGCAGTGGGATATATCAAGATTAACTATCAAATAGGATTCTGTCTATCCAGTCTGGACATCTAGAATGGGACCTTTGAAAATCCAAGTTCTCCAAAGTGCAAATGTTGGGCTAGGCATGAAGATTTCTCAGTGATAACCTCCAGGTTCAGAACCATCTTCCCCAGAGGTGCTTATGGCTCAGATATTGCTCTCATTGAAAAATAACTTTATTTCAACTATCTTTTGGTCTTTAATATGATTTTGGTAAACTATTGATATATTTATTATGTTTGATTTCTTCTGTTTTACTATTCAGAATACAGCAAGATTAGAGCACTATACAAAAATTATAATTATATAACTACTGGAAAATAGTATTTTCTGTAACATGCAGAAAATAATTCAGTGTGAATAGAACGAATATGTAATTGAAAATCTAATGCAAATGCTTTTTCCATTCCATTCCTTTTCTGTAACTCTGTTTTAATTATCACTGCTGGAAAGAAGGCTGTCATGCTGTGACTACATTCTGTCTTTTTCTCAGAAGATGAACAGAACGTGCTGGCTACATAAATTACTATTCTTCCAGTAGGCTAATTCAACAACCTTTTTTGGTTCCTTCATACTATAGAGGAACATGCAAATTAAAGCAATGTCTGGCAACAACCCCTTGTGTTATTTGTAGAGTAATGCATCAAACATGGACTTAAAATAGATTTCACAAAATACTATATGTATAAAAAAACAATTGTTGTATAAAGTCAAGCTTCTGCAGGTAAAGTTCAACAACAAGCTGACCTCAGAACACTTGAGTTGTCTGGAATCATGCATTTTTAAATCTAAGTAAATAAATAAAATAAAAAATCCATTCATGAGCATTCTGTCAGGCCCAGAAATCATCCCTCCTGTTCCATGAGCAACAGTTGCTTCCATTCACGGAAATACTGTTCTGGGAGAATATTTATTTATCATTAAACAACTTATGCGGAGCTGCATATAGATTAGCTTTAATAGACTCAGCTGATAGAAAATTCATAGAATCATAGGTCTTGGCTCATAACACTTAGACTGTTCTTGTGTTTCTAGGTTTCTGAAGATCATGATACAATGGCCCAAGTTCTCTTCAGTAGAAATCTCCGTCTGAATGTAGCTTTAACCTTTTGGAAGAGGAGAAGTATAAGTGAACTTGTAGCCTATTTACTGAGGTAAAGTTTTAAGAAGACTGCTGCTAGCTGAACTGAAGTCATATTGTGTGTATATGTAGGATTCTTTTTACAAAGAAGAGCCTGGATGGAAACGATGCATTAATCTTAGTGCTTGGGTGTTCCCTCCAGGAAGTGTTATTTGTATTTTATATAACAATAACAGTGGACTTAAATGCCAAATCCAGTCTAAACATCTGGATGATGATAATGATGATAATAATAATAATAAAAACTGGTGCATCACTTGAACACCACTGGCATTGACAAAATAACAGTCAATTGCAAAACATAGTTTTACTTGGAACAGCTTATATACTGCAATGATACCTTTAACACCATCAAACAAGTACATCTACATATTCCAGGTGAATAAAAATATCAAGTCCAGACTAAACATCTGGCTGAATATGTAACGAACCATAATAATAATGGGATAATTAATAATGGAATGCAAGACCATAATTTTTAAACCTGTGGAATTCTTCACAGGTTTACTATGCACAGAGTTTATCTGCATAAATTAATGTAATAATATTCAGCCATTTCTAATATACTACCCTTAGATACTGTCTTATGAAATGTATGTAAAAAGCAGTGACTAATGGTGTATTTTTATGTTTCTAGGATACAAGATCTAGGAGTAGTTGTAGATTGTCTCCCTGTCCTTATCAGCAGGTAAAAGAAAAATCTAGAGGAAGGGGTTGATGGAATATATGTTATGTATATTTAGACATACTAATAATGCCTTGTTTCAGTTTACAGGAAGAAAAACCTTATATTTCTGTTGGTTGCTGTGTAGACCTTCTACCATTAGTAAAATTAATGCTTAAAAGCAAATTTGAAGAGTAAGTTTTTAAAAAAATATTTCTTATGTAATTATTTAGAGAATAAAAATAAAAGTTAATCTTTACCTTTTGTAGTTTGCTATTCCTGATAAACACACAGAATTGCATGTCAAGGGTAGGATCAACAGTGATTTTATTGGTCTCATTGTCCTAACATGGAGGGCAAACGTGTAGCCTTTCCAATGTTGCTGAGCTATAAATTCCAAAATCCCACAGGATGGGTTAAAGTAAGGGATGCTAGAAAGCCATCAGTTCTACAACGATTTTATATTTGCATTTAGTCTTCCTCAGCCTGATTTACTGATGCTAAAGATGTGCCTCCTACTATTTATATATTTAAAATCAAGCAATTTCTGTTAGTTCAGTTGTTTAAGTCTGTTCGGATAAAAAAGATTTTGGGGAAATCAAAAGCAGTGTTGCTGAACAGAATGACTTGAAAAAAATGTTTCCCAATTATAAGTTGGTTGAATTATACCCATATAACTCAGACATTTTGCCTTCTAAGAAAAAAAAAACACTGAATACATTATTAGGAAGATTTATTCTGCTTGTTTTTTCCATTCATTAAAAAAACCTGATTTGAAAAATTTCTTAGTAGTTTGCAACTGTTTTAAGGAATATTTTGCCAATGTTTAAGCTGTTTTCAGAATGAAGCTTTTCATAGTGATTTCTTTCCCCCCCTAGATATGTAATTGTTGGTTTAAATTGGCTTCAGGCTGTAATTAAGAGATGGTGGTCACAACTTTCTGTCCATACGGATAAGATAGAAGATGGGTAAGTAACCCTTTTTAAACATTGCAGCTTTTTAAACACTGTGACTTTTAGTATGACTGCTAAACTTTTAGATAATAATAATTATAATAATTATAATAATTATTATAATAAAGTTGAAAGAATAACTAAAAACTTTCCTGATTAAAAAAAACCTAGATTTTGTGAGCATACTGTTGGGAGCAATTCTAAAAATGATCAGATTAAACAGTATTAAGAAGTTTGATCGTACAGATCTTTCCCTTTCACTTAGTACTGAAAACTGCTATAAAAATGGAGAAACCTTTTTTTTCTATTAGAACTAGAAAATATGACTCATGGTAGATTTTCTTCCCTAATCTTCAATAACCTCTGTTATCTATGCTTTTTGACATGTGAAGCTGAAGGTAGAAAAAATAATTAACTTGAATAACAATTGCAAAGTAATTTTGTCAAGGTAAGATGCACATAGAATTGTTTGTTTGATTTATATAGTTACCCATCTCATATATGTAACTTTGGGGGCTTACAATAAAATAGATAAAAACAAATACATTACATAAAATAAAAAATATAGCAGTTAAGCAAATACAATAACTATTAACAAAGCCAAGAGATGAACTCCATCTCACTTTCAGGTCCCCAGGCTCTGGACAAAACCAAATTTTTACGGCCTTGTGAAAAGCCAGTAGAGTTAGGGCCCATCTAATCTCTGGTGGAAAGGTATTCCACAAAGAAGGTGCCATGTTGGAAAAGGCCAACCAGGATTTCTTAGCTGACAGCACCCAGTGCTTTCATTCCTACAGAAATAATATATTTCTGATCTTGAAAGTATGGCATCTATTGAGGTCTCCAGGATGGTACAAGAAAAAAAAAATGTAGAATGTAAGTTAAAACCTGCTCTAAGGTTGATAAAATGTATGTAATGGCCATCTCAAATTTCAGTTAAAATTATTTAAAAACATTTTTCCTGCATTAGCCAATAACTTACCAAAGGTACAATTGGTCATATACAGTATTTGAAATCTAGGTAAAATAGTTACCATGAGATACTGATTGTTCTTTATTTATTGCATTGATATTCCATACCTTTGGCTTTCTTTTTCAGAAATATTCAGATTTTAAAAGAACAATTAAGTATATTGTGGAAACAAGCAAACCATCTTACTTTGGTTCCAGGATATACGGGTAATATAGCAAAGGTAACATATCTATTCGAAGATAATATATTTTTGAAATTAATTTATGTTCTTAAATATATATAATTTAATTTTTAGTGGAATGTACCGAATTATATTCTTCTGCCCTTCCCTTGCTGTGATACTCAGTCTCATTTAAAGAGTTAGATTCTCTAGAGCTATATTGGAGATGGGGTGTCCCTTGGCATGAGCCGAAGCCCCATCATGTAACTTTGAAGGCAGCCTATTGAGTTACTGTTTGAGGTTAATTATTTGGAATTAATAGTAGTATTTTTTTTTGTATACACAGTATCAATGCACTCATGTTCAGACAGATACTGGGTTAGTTGAACAAACGCCTCTCCCCTCGTCATTACTGAGATAGAAATTGAATCTGGTTTATATGTCTGCTCCTCATTCTCTCTTATCCTTGATTATTTTATCTGGTTATTATCTCGATCTTTGCTTTTCATGTTATCTTTCAGATAATAGAGAATACTATTTCCTATATTGCAGACAGAAGGCTCTGAGAAGTGTATGTTATTTATACAGCCAAGGACAGAAATATATGTAGTTTTGTCTCCTAATATCTCTGCATTAGTTATCCCTCACTCTGACCTTGTTAATTGAAATAGATAAGTTAGGAATGAGGATCTATATGCATTCACATAAATACAAAAATAGAACTTTCAATATAATTGGAGAAATGATTATCTGAGCAAATTAAAGAAAAGAACTCCAGTTTATACTTCATTGTTTAATGCATCAAATGGGAGATACAGGGGGATATTTTTTGTATGTCAAAGGTTATGTTTCTAGGTCAATTTACTTGCTGTTGTATAGGTGTTAATTAAAACCTGAACAGGAACTAAAGGATATGTGAGTTACCAAAATATTTTACTAATGTTAATACATTATGCAAAGCTACAAGTTTAACTATAATTTATTAATGAAATATACTGATTGGCCGTGCACAAGTAAACCAAACCATGATGTACTACAGTTCCTTCAAATGCTCTGATATATTTTTTTTAAATCCTGTACTCAAACGTCGGTGCTTGTATTATATTTCTACAAAGAAATTTCTGAGTAAGAATAAAGATAAACATGCAAGTGTTTGCTAAAGCAGTGTTTCTCAACTTTGGCAGCTTGAAGATGTCTGGACTTCAACTCCCAGAATTCCTCAGCCAGCATTCTGGGAGTTGAAATATTATGGCTGGCATTCAAAGAGACCCTTGGTGTTATGAATTACTTTTGGAATTAATGTGTTTTACTGTTTCTATTTTTTTTTTAGGGTGTGGAATCTTATTTGTTACAGTTGCACTGATATACCTGGAGGACAAAGCTGTGTGCTTAAACAGGATCAGTCAACAGTAACACGAAGCAAGATACTCTTTCCAAATAATTCCTCTTCTGAGGACTGTCTTTGACAGAAGAAGGCTAGACCATTGGACTATTTAATGCAAACACTAAATATCCATCTGCTTCACATTGAAGTGGAAAAAATTCTAACAGGAGCAACTTTTACTTCAGTGAGGTGAAAGTGCACTATGAAAACTGTATGTATGCCTTTGCCGCACTTGGGGGATATTTTCAGTTACCTGGTGAAATCATGAAAGTGTTTCTTCTACATAACTGTATGATACAACAATACCTACCGTAATTGTGAAGACAGAACTGAAAACCATTACTAGGAACCACAAAAGACCATTTGCCATAAAGTTTTTTTTAAATCATGTTTTTCTTATGAACTGTAAAAATGTATTTTCAGATATGTTACAAATTTTGAGTTTTGATGTACTGAATTTCTGAAATGTGTCTGCTATATTAATCAAAATATTAAAGACTATTTTTGTTGCACTACTGAAAAACTGCATCTAGCTAAGAGGCCTTAACTACTAGATTTGCAAATAGCCAATATATTAGGGTATCATATAGCCAATATATTAAATAACTATATAGAGGGATGGAAATTCCTTTGAAAAAAAAATCAAAGTGTTTACACAAATTGTGTACAAATCATTTTGAAACGTTTTGCACACTGAAATATATTGAAGTGGGGTTTTCCACTAAATTGACTACTTAAATACCTGTATGACTTAATTGTAAGAGTATTAAAATATAGAACATTGAGAAAGCTAACTGTAGATGTGAACAGAATAGTGATTCTGTATATCTTGCATTTTAATACTTTTTCTAATATATTCTACTCTTTATAGTTCGAATTACATGCAGCTTAGTAAATGTACTAATGTTACAGTTTTAAGTTCAGATTTTCCCACTTCAGAACCTTTTCTTCTGTTCTTCAAATATTTAAAACTCCTAGAAATGTTTACAGCCTGACTAGACTTGTGCGTTTCAGATTTAACAGCACAGCTGCTACCTCTTCTAACAAATGTTGCTGCAAAGTTTTCAGACATAGATGCCACATGGTCAAATTCCTAACTTAACACTGATTTTTAAAAAAACAATAAATGCAGTACATCTCATGTACAAGTTTTACAGCTGTACTTTGTTTTGGTTATTTGTGACATTTTAGGACAATCTGCTATGGCATACTTGATCATTTGAACTGAAAAACAACTTGATGTGTTTTTAAGATGGCACCTGTGTTTTATATAACTGGAAAAGAGAGATTTCCAAATAAAAATTTAGAAAGTGCAAGCAGTGCACCAAAACGTAAACTGAAATATTTGTAACATGCTAGCAAAGTTACTCATTTTTTTTATGCTAAATTCCAAACTAAGTTTAAATATTAGCTTTATGTATATAATCAACTGCACTGCAGGCTGTAAGAAGGAGGCCTTATGTACATTTCCTTATAAAAACAATTCTGAATTGTTAAAATTAAAAGTCTGGTTTTGTCAACTTAGTTTACAGATTCTTCCAGCTGTACAGAGTCATGCAAATTTTCCTTGGGTCTTATGTCTTTATATAAGAGAAAAACTGTCTTGCTCTTGAGCCAACAGAGCTAAAAATAATTTAAGGACTAAATATGTAAAATCAGTTATTATTTCCATAATGTTTTAAGGGCTTACTATATGAAATCAGTAGCATCAATAACAGACTGTATAATTCTATAAACATTACTATTCATCTGATCAACTAACTTAAGCCAAGTAGCAATTTTATGCTTTTTCACATTGACCTCCTTAAAGTATCCGATAAAACGGAACCATTAACGAAAAAGAAAATAAGGTAAGACGTCTACCTATCCATTATATTTCACCGTGACGTATTTTATTTCTGAATTTTACTAATACTTACTTAATCTACCCTCTAAAACCCTATAAAACACATACCTCTAAACTTATAAAAAAATTTACAATTCTGTCTACACCAAATCAAAAAACTCCATTAAAACTGATATTAAATCATACATCCATATTTTTTGCAACTTCAGTCCTTAGAAAATGCAACAGGGAATGGGCCACCAATCAGTTATGATGATTCACACATTACATATACCTAGCTTCAGTATGTGCTGCACCAGTGTGTACTGAACAAAGGATGGACAAGGTAAAGCATCTGAAGGATGTGTTTTGCAAAGCCATAGTACAGTACAGCAGTTCAGGCAGTCCTCATTTAGTGACTGGAAACTCAGTCACTAAGTGATGCAGTTGCTAAGTGGAAAATCACATGGCTGTGACTGCTTTATAATTTTAGTTAAGCTTTCCTTCCTCCCACTCCCCTGCCTTTTGAAATGCTCACTCTCAGCACTAGGAAAATTACTAAATAGGGATTTAATGTTTCTATTCATATTCATTGAAGAGAAAGGGGCTACAAGAAGGTAAGCAGGCACACAATGGGGAATACACACTGAAAAGAATACAACAATAGACAACACTAGTACATTCCTTTCAATGTATATTCCTCATTGTGTGTCTACTTACTCTCTTGTAATCTCTATTTCCCCATTCTCTGCTCTGGGGGGGGGAGAAAAAAAAAGAAACAGATCATGTACAGGACAATATAGAACTGTAATGGTGACATGTGACTGAGGGATGCTGCAAAGATTGTAAAAACTCAGCTTGGTCACAGTTATCTTTTCAGCTCTGTCAACATTTCAAATGATTGCTGCACAAGGCGATTGGTAAGCAAAGCTTGCTTGTACATATTCAGTCATCAAAAAGATCAATCCTGGGGTAAAGCAACTCTAAAACACTTTTTGGAGATCAATTGCAAAGTGATTGTACGAAACATTCTACTGCAACTGAAGCATGAAAGGTTAAAAAAGCCATGTCCTTTGGAGAATTTGCAAGCTGCTTCAAAAACTATCTTGCAGTCAGCATAAATGTGTCTGCAATAATTTAGCTTCAATGGTGTCTGAATAAAAGTGGATGCACAGTTTTTACTTCTTTCATTTTGCACAGCCCTGTTGCTGCAATTACTAATATAGTAGTGCATAGCTATGTCTATTTTAACAAGAATACTTCAGGAAAACTCACAAGCTAAGCAAAATAGAGTTTCAATAGTGGAGAATCAATATACCTCATGATTGTTGGAGTTCTTGTTCTTTGAGCTTTCTTCTTGCAAACTTTTTTCCTCATTTATACACTTACGTTTCTTAGGCTAATAATGAAATAACTGCAAAAAGAAAAGGAAGCACAGAGAACACAAGAACCCAATAAAATAATTACATAGTGCTTAACATCAAGTACTTGAATAATTATTATTTTTATTGGGAGGATCTATAATGTCTGCCAGGTATCATCTGAACTTTGTAAAACAGTAGACTTTGGCAATAAATTCCATATATATTTTTGAGTGTGATTATTTTCCTATTTTAATATCAGCATTGGTAATCTTTCTTTCTGCTTGACCCAGGATATTCTTTTAAAATATTAAACTAACTCGTAAAAATTACATCTATTTAACACTGACACTATGCAATCATTAGAGTCCCATTAGCAGGATGTTATATAAAATTAGGAGCAATAATTATAAATGCTTTCCTTGTGGTGGAAAATTGAAAATGAAAAAAATGAACTCACAAATTATATTAAGCCATGATTTAAAAAAAAATATTTGGGTTTGTATGACATAGTGTGTCATAAAACATTTACAGACCACAATCCATAAGCAGTGAGAAAGTATTCAGTTTATCAAATGTCATTTAAATATACTACTATAATTACATGTTGTAATCAATAAAATACATTACTGGTCTTTTTTTAAATTAAATACTAAAGTTTAATTTCTCCATCTGAAAACCTGTGTCAATTTTTTTCTCTGAACTATCTTGATTCATGGTAAGCAGTAAAGAAATATATTCACCAATCTCTTCAAAACTCATCCTTGCTTAAAGGATGGCTTTAAAAAAGTCAAGAAATGAACTGTTTGATGAAGACCTGCATACAGTCAAATTATGTGAGGAAACATAGATGAAGCATGCTATGTATCAGAGTACTGTTTAATATGCTGCAGTTCTTGTGCTGATTGGTAACACTTTGTGATACACACCTAAGTTTTTGCTTTGAAATATTTGGGTCCAGCACTGGCAAAGTTTCTGTAACTATAAATACGTATATGAAGCCAGAATAGAGTCAACATCCTATACATCTGCCATATGATGTAAAAGTCTACATGAAAATTCCACCATTTTATGTACCTATTTCTTTTACTGATAAGCCTGCCCTATTAATTTTAACCACATCAGCTAGAAAAAGACTGTATGGAGCTTTTTGCCCTTAGCTATTCTGTATGCAACTGGATAATTTCCAGGTTAATTGAGGTTTTTGTTTTCCTCAGTAAGCTTTGGCGCAGATAGGGCAACCTAACCATCTATTTATAATAATAATAGTAAAATTGGAAGGGACCTTGAAGGTCATCTTGTCCAACCCCCTACTCAGGCAGGAAACCCTATACCATTTCGGACAAATGGCTGTCCAGTCTCTTCTTAAAAACTTCCATCTATTTAACTGTTAAGGCCCATTTTCACAATTGCAATAAAGATAAAAATATTCAAAACAGGATTCAAATGACAAAAGTAGCATGGTGCCATCATAATATATGCTCTGGTGCTTTCATACATTATGATGTGTGCATATTCGAAAGGGCAAGAGCTTGTACAATGGCATGCTGCTGTTTTTTTATACTAATTTTATTAGAAATTGCAATTTAAAAATGTCCAGTAAAACATGTTTTACTTCCATGGCATCTTTAAAACAGATACTATATAGAAAGGCAGACACACTTAAAATTAACTTTTGGATCCATTTCAGATTCTTTTAGCAACGATTGAGATGAGAAACATGGCTTAGCCACGCCCAAACTAGTCATCACTAGTCAAACGTCTGCATCTTAGTCTCTCTGTTGGTGAAATAAATAAAACATTTTTATATGTTTTATCAGATAGTGAATCAGCAACATTCAATAAAATGCAGTACCTGGTTAATAACCTAAAAATATGAATCTACAAATGAAACTATTAAATATCACCTCTGCAATGGCCTCCGATCTATCTGTATTCCATACAATATACGTAGTTAATATACTGCTCACAAAAATAAAGGGAACGCAAACTCCTTCAGTTCCAGGTTAAAATGTTCCCTTTATTTTTGTGAGCAGTATATATAGAGGAAGCACAGTTGCTTCCCCAACAACAGGAAAGTTCCCATACATTTTGAGAATTTAATTTCCCGTGAAAAACTTTTGATAGTCTGCAACCCTTAAGTACAAATATATTACATTTGCTGCAAACCAGTAGCGATATTGTAAGAAGGGACTGGAGGGGTTTCAAGCTTAAAAAAAATATATCCACGTGTCTGCTAAATTAAATTGCTGCAAAAATTAATCTAATTAGTGTTTCCACTCGGGTGGGTCACGAAGATTTTTATCCTGATTGTTCGAGTAGGGTAGGATATACTTTTGTCGAATCACAATAATATTATAGCAGCCCGTCTGGCAACAATTCATTATCAAGCAAGGTTCATTTCCACGCCCGCCTCGGAAAGAACGCTATAGAAGGAACCCGATTATGGAACAGAAATTGCAAATTGACGCTATCAACTGCATATAGAGAGAATCAATATAAAATGATTTACAGATGGCATTTAACACCGGCGAGATTGGCCAAAATGTATAAAAACATAGACCCGAAGTGTTGGAAATGTAAAATTAAAGAAGGAACATTTTATCACATGTGGCTGTGCCCCAAAGTAAAAAATTATTGGGAACGGATAAGAGATTGGATACAGGAGATAACTGAGATACAAATGGATTTCAAACCAGAAATATTTCTTTTGGGCATAATAAATTTAAAGATGGAAAAACAACTCCAACACATCATTATACACATATTGACTGCAGCTCGTATAGCATATGCGCAATGTTGGAAGAGTNGCGCAGAAATGAACAAACTTACGTTAGAATTAAAAGACAAGGAGACGTCAGAATTTTATGAAATTTGGAATAAATGTTATAATTGGCTAGAACAGAGAAAGAAAAAGACATAATTATTGATGTATATAAAATGTAAATAAGATGTAAAGAATATTTAAAATGTAAAGCACTGTTCTGTTAGAAGAAAAGATTTATGTTTTATGTAGTTTTTGGTGTATGGTGTATGGTGGAAAAAAAAAAAAAATTGAGTAAGAAGGAACCGGAAATCCGGAGTTTGAGAGTCGAGGACCAGAATCGGGCGCATCCCTTCTTTGCCACGTGACCACACGCTGCGCCGGGCACGCCGAAAGGCTCATTCCGGTCGCTTGGCGCATGCGCCGGTAGCGGGGGGGAAAAAAAAAAAAAGCCTCCTTCCGCTTGTTCGTTATCCCGGTATCTGGCGCAAGAGCTATCATGGCGGCCAGGCCCTTTGGTCTTCTCGGGACGGTTGTAGTGCTGGCGGCTCTGTTACAGTTCCCCTCGCGTTCGTGGGCTTCAGAAACGCCCGGTGGTGGTGGCGCTGGTGCTGGTGCTGGCGGGGATGCTCTCGGCGCCGGCGAGAGGTTTAAGATCGAGGGCCGCGCGGTGGTGCCGGGGGTGAAGCCCCAAGACTGGATCGCGGGGGGCCGAGTGCTGGTGGACGGGGAGGAGCACGTCGGCTTCCTCAAGTGAGTAGCAGCCGCGGTGGCGGTAACCGTCGTCAGCCGTCGTCTCTCTCCCAGCCCCGGTCTGGCCGTGCGGACCCCGTCTGGGGGTCCTTGTTGGGTGGGGGGAGAGGGGGATCCCGCTGCGTTTCGGAGCAGGTCGAGAGCTGGTTTCTGATTTGCTCCGGATCCTCGGCGTCTCTTCGGGGAGCCCCCGGGAGGCTGGCCGCGGTTTGTAGTCAAGCCAGTGTTTCTCAACCTTGACCATTTTAAGGCATGTGGACTTCAACTCCCAGAATTCCACAGCCAGCAACGCTGGCTGTGGAATTCTGGGAGTTGAAGTCCACATGCCTTAAAATGGTCAAGGTTGAGAAACACTTGAGTTAAGCCTTCCGCAGGGCTAAATTAGGCAACCAGGAAGGGGCAAAGTCACGTCAGAAGCGGAATGACAACGATGTTTAACCCCGGGGCAAAACTTAATATAGGTATTAAGCAAGTTTTGCACTTAGTACCTGGGTGAAAGACTACCAGAAAACCCCGCCGTGTTAAAGGAGGAATTGAAGACACCGGCAAGATGTACTTCTCTGGTGTTGTCAAGTAAACAACATAGTTGTGTCCGTGGAGTCAAGCTTGTGTCGAGGGAGGTTTTGCCTGGAGAGCCAGCAGATTGTAGATGAGAGTTTGGCCCTGGGGAGAGACTGCTTCCAATTGATCCTTAGCCTTGGAAGTTCAGTCGCTCTCCCAGCTGATCCTAATTGACCGCAAAAGTTGGAGTAGGGAGTTTCTAAAAGGAAGGCTTGATATACATTATATCAACATTTAAAGCTTCCTGTCTCTTTAGACCAGTGTTTCTCAACCTTGACAATTTTAAGGCATGTGGACTTCAACTCCCAGAATTCCACAGCCAGCAATGCTGGCTGTGGAATTCTGGGAGTTGAAGTCCACATGCCTTAAAATTGTCAAGGTTGAGAAACACTGCTTTAGACAGAGACAACAATACTAGAGATGATTACCCATTATTACTATTTTTTTCTGTCTTAAAATCTTATACCAGAGAGCAGGCTGAGGGAAAGCTGGCCTGGATTAGGTCAAGGCAGAGTGGCCAAGACAAATTTTAGAGCATATTTATTGTGTCACAGTGTGTGTGGGTTGGGTTGTTCCTTGGGAAGATCACAAGCAGCTTTTTCGAAACGTATTCGGCCTCACAAAGCATACCTCTCAATCTTTACTGTTGGTTTTCGGCTCTGAGGCAGAACAAACTGCTCAGTTTCAGATATCCTTGTATTTCTGATCTGCAGATAAGTTTCCACACACATACTCGGCTATTTGAAAATATTAATACCAACCTGTTTTAGAGTACGTCTTTATTAAAACCTGGACATACAATGTCATGCATCCAACCGTTAATTATGTTTTTGTTCTTAATGGTAAATCAGAATTGGACCTAGAACTACAAGTGTCAAAAATTGAATTAGTTATATTATTGTGGTATCTTTAAACATTATATTGATGGGGAAGTTTCTCCCTATGCCCCTCCCAGAAGGGCAGTTGCTTTTAAGGGGTGCATTAACCTCTTTTTTATATTCTGTGTTGAAATGCTAACACAGCTTTTCGTATTACATAATGAATTCCTGCAGAGTAGAAGTACATGCACACAGAATCAGGTTGCTTCTGATATTGAGAAATGAATATATTCCACTGTATGGTTGATTAAGATTTCATTAAGTGTAAAGTGATGTACATCAGAGCAAAACCTAACTTCACATGAGTTCTGGTAAAGCCTGATGTCTATCCAGGTGGTTAGAATCCTAGTGGTTAGTTCAGTGAAGATATTGGCTCAAATGTACAGTGTCTGTCAACATTGCAATGTTCTTCTACAAGTCTAATGCTTCTACATCTACAAAACTATGTACTGTTCTGGTGGTCATATTGGAAAAATAATAAGAGCTGGAAAAATGTAGAAGATGCCAATATGATTTGGGGACTCAAATACGTTCCATACAAGAAAAGGATAGTAGATTTGGAATTTTAGCTTAGAAAAAGAAAGTGGGCAGATTTATTGTAAACTTCCCAGAGAATTTTGCTATTTTATTTATTAAATATTAATATTTTTTCTCTCTTAAAATAGTGGGACCAGTGGTCATCCAATCAAGCTAATTGGAAGGAATTTAAAATGCTGTATATAATTACAGATAAGCCAATCCTCAAAATAACCCAAACTTCAAATTTTTAGCTGCAAGAATCTGCAAACTGTTATTTATAAAATAGTATAATTTTAAGGCTGTGATGAGCTTTAAAAATTTGAGCTCTCATCTGCAAATAATCTAAACCCAATTTTGGGGGTATGATGTCAAATTTGTCCTGATGCAGTGGGACTGTTTTTATGTCCTTTTACAGCCACTATGACTAGTAGTATTTTTTTTAAAGTCTATTCACTTTGATTAAAAATGTAGAGTAGCTTAGAAATATAAGGGATAACTACATTTTCTGAATTTTATACTTAAATATATTTAAGCACAATCTACCAATCATATTCATTGGGTGGCTCCAATTTATAGGGTGGGCAAGCCAAAACGCTCAGTGATTTTTGCAGCTTGTCTCAGGCCTAGTGTTTCTGCTGAGATAGAAACTAGATACTAGAACGTTTTATCTTGTATTCATAACTGCCCTGCTATACCAGTTCACTGTCACTTGTTAGTAATGAAGACCATTGTACTACATATATGTTGGCAGGAATTATAATCTTATTTTCTTAACACAGAGAGTCTAATAGTCTGAAATATAGCTCTAAACTGATTAAGCAAAACTTTTTTTGTGGTATGTAATCTAAAATCATTGTGTTATCTCTGAAAACATTCTGTGATAGAATTATATGTTTGGCTCTTTTCTATTTTACCAGGACAGATGGAAGCTTCGTTGTTCATGATATTCCTTCTGGATCATACGTTGTTGAAGTTATATCTCCAGCTTACAAATTTGAACCAGTACGGGTAGATATTACTTCAAGAGGAAAAATGAGGTGAACTGTTTAAAATTTCATATTGCAATAAGTTAATATATTTTGTAAGTTATGAGATGAAAAGCTTAATTTTAATATCTACATACAACATACTACATTTGGAAAAGTTTTTGAGAAGTTAAGATCTAGTGAGTCAAAAATCCAAATAGCCGTTTTGTGTTCAATTTTTATTGGGATAAAATATTTGTTAATGAACATTCTAATATGTAATATATAGACTTGTTTCTTTGGCTTATCACAATATATAAATCAAATCATTTGGCTTATGAAACTTGGTTTGATTGAATGTGATTGAATATTGTGTAAACTAGTTCATTGGCCTATTTAATAAATAATGATTAAAACAAATGGTGATTTATTGCTGTATGTTAATGCAGCCATAATTTTATTGCTAAGACTGTGTTGATATTCATATTTTAATTATATAAACAATTTGAACTTATCTTGCATATATGATTGTTAAATATTTAAAAAGAAATAAAACCTAGCTTTAATACGTGAATTTTTTAAAATTACAGCTTTAATATTTCATATGAATTTTGTATGAAGTAGTTTACTTATAGTTGACTTGTTGTGGTACCTGGTACAATATCTCCATAGATGAAATGGAGTGTTAGTTAAATCATTCTCAAGCTTCTCTTGCATTAATAAATTGTAGGAAAAGCCCCAGAGTTTGGAAAATATAAATCCATTCAGGTAGGGTAGTCTTTTTTAAGGTTCAGCAACAATTCAAAATTACAATGATGCTGAACATGGGGATTTCAGCTATTGCAATGTACCCATGGTTACATGAACATAATTTGGGCTCAGCTGCATTTATGACTGCCTTCGGATGGCCACCTACCTACTACTGCTAGCAGCCTCGCTTTGTCACAAGTGTGGTGGCAGAATACAACATGGCTAAAAGGTTAGAGATGGGAAAATAGGTGGTGGGAGTTGAAGAGGAGGAAGTCCCATATTTTATCAAATCTCAGGGCTGGTAGGGACCAAGCTGAGAGTGGGACCAGGGTGGGTTTTTGGGTAACAACTGATAAGAATTGGTAAACAGCAGCAAAGAAGATTGGGATTGCTGTCACTAAGCAATGCAGTGATGTAACATTGTGCTTTATGACTATCAATCTAAGTGATAGAAATTCTAGTCCCAATTGCCATCATAATTCGAAGGCTATCTGTATAGCAACCTAGTAGCAACTCTATATACAGTGCAGACTCCTACTGAAATAAATAATAATAATTTAGACTGCTGTCCTAAGAACATTGATCTGCAAATAAGCAGCATTTAATCTAACTGTAGGCTCTTCAGTGGAAATGCATTGATGTGCGCTACTTACATTGTCATCGGATACAGTGTAGAGGTATTGATAGAGAAAATGTGTTTCATTTAATTTAAAAATCTATAGAACACACTTTTATTTTATTTTTATTTCAGAGCAAGATATGTGAATTATATCAAAACATCAGAAGTCGTTCGATTGCCATATCCTCTTCAAATGAAATCTTCTGGGCCTCCGTCATATTTTATAAAGAGAGAGTCTTGGGGATGGACAGACTTTTTAATGAACCCCATGGTATGTATGGAATCGTGTAAACATAAACAGGTTTATCAGACTATTTTTCCATTTGTAAAAATTACATATTAAACAAGTTTTAACTTTTTTATTTTATTGTGGGTTTTAATTGTGTGTTTTAATTATTCAGAATTTTATTTGGTGATTTTAGTATGTTGTAAGTTCTAAGAAATGTCAACGGTGCTATGTCTGACATAAACAAAATTATATATTTTCTGTAAGGAAATGCATGGAGTAGATATATTCACTTTCGGATAAGTATGTTGGAGACTGACACAAAATATATTGAGAGGAATTAACTAAACAGGAATTTCATTTCCTAAGTCTTTCCTAAGAATATGTTTAAGATTGCAGTTCTGTCATTTCTGTCTCACAAATAGGTTCTTTTTGCAAAAAATAATGTATCTTAATACTATATATTATATAAATAAAAGTTGAAATAAAGCTGCTGAAGCATAAAAATTTAATATAATAACTTAAATGTGTACAACGTTTAACTTGGCATTTTATTTAATATTGAACTCAATTGTGAAGTATAAAAACAAAGCAAAACTTTACAGATAGATTTGGTCGTGTCTTAGAAACCTGGAATACTGATTAAAATTAGGCATTTGGACTAGGTTGGTTTCCATAAGATAATCTGAGTAGTTCCTGTTTGGTTGATTATGTGCTATCAATTGGATGTCAACTCTTGGTGACCACATAAATGTTTTCTTCATGATGATATATTCCTAAATTGGTCTTTCAATGTTGCACATGTCACTATAGTAACTGAGCCCGTTCATGTTGCTGCTGATCACCCTCTTCTCTTTCCTTGCACTTTTCTGAGCCTTCTCCAGAGAGCTAGGTCTTCACATAATATGTCCAAAGTAGAATATTGTCATTTATGCCTTGAAGGGTTGATTTGTTCCATTTGTTTCCTGTCTGTCCACAGTATTGTGAGGAGTCTTCTCCAACACTAAAGTTCAAAAGTATCAATACTCTTTCAAGCCTACTTCTTCACAGTCCAGGTTTTGTTCCCATAGAGTATCACAAGGAATACCATTGCTTGCACTATTTTGATTTTTGTAGGTATAAAATCATAGCGTCTAAATAACTTTTTGGATGAGTGGCTCTACTTGTTTTTTACATATTAAAAGTGACTTCAGAATTATAGGGAAAATGATTGCAGATAATGAGCTCATAATAAAATCAATCTGTTAATCATAGATTTGAAAGAATCTTAAAAGTTGTATAATCCAGTGCTATTACTAAGACAAGAACGCCATTGCGAAATTCAGTTACAGGTTATTTGATAATGGCCATCCAAATTCTTCTTAAATTCCTTCAGTTAGTGCCCACAAAGTTCTGAAAAATACAGTTACACTATTGAACAGCTTTTAATATTTTATACTGCTGCTACATTCAAATTCATTATTTTAATTTTTTTTTAGAAAAAAATCTGTTATAGTATCTACTATTTGGTATTGATCCTTCCTTTCAATATAGTAAAGAACAAATATGCTTTATAATCCCAAGAGATTTGTAATCTCTGGTTACTTAGAACACATTTGATAAATGTAACTTAAGTAACCCTAAGGTAACCTTTTCTCAGTCTTAAGGAATTGTATGAAGCTGTGTCTTGAATATTTCTGATCACCATACTTTGTTATGAAAGATTCAGTAGTTTTAGCTAACATCAAACAAATAGTGATCATGGTCAAGTATTAGGTGAATTCAGATTAGTCATAATATATTCAATTTATTTTCATGACTTTGTTTTCGATCGTTCACAAAACTATGGTAGTTTTGAAGAGGAGTGATTTATTTGAAGCATCAAATGGTTAACGAATTAATAATACCTTTTGAATTTTTTCTGTTTAAGGTTATGATGATGATCCTTCCATTGCTAATCTTTGTATTATTACCTAAAGTTGTCAATACAAGTGATCCTGACATGAGGCGGGTGAGTAAGCTTTGCAAAAGTGAAAACTGCAAATATTGAATCTAGATATAGATGTAAGTATAGGTATAGATATAGATATATAATATACAGAATCAGGAAAGTGTCAGATATAATAGTGAGATTTTGGTTTATTTCTATAACTGAAATATAGTTCTGAGCTAAAAACTTCAACAATGAAAAGAATATGGAAATTATTACTGGAAAGTAGGGTTTATGACATAAAAGGAGATTAATTTTTCCCATGTTTTATTTGCATTCCCCCAAAAGCTTATGATATATAGGATGGGCTTAAAGAAAATGGAGATAGCATCATGTGGTAAAATGACATTTATTTATAGGACCCGTATGGCTGCCTTTCTCATAAAATGATAGTAGCCTGCTCACCACATCCTATGAAGCTTACCTGAAACAAAAATATCCTTCTCCCAGGCACCAGCCTAGTTAAACCCCCACATGGAAATCCAAATGTGATAAACATTTGCTGGATAATCTTAATTTCAGCAGTTTTGTGCTCCCCACCTACACAAAATACTGTGGTGTGCTCTGAATCTCAAAGTCAAATCAAGAAAGCATTCCCATGAGAGAATTAATGTCCTCATTTGATGATTGAATGGGAAATCTTGAAGAGCAGATTTGTTTTCCATGTGGGTTTATCCCATATTTCATCAAAGCTTATTTTGGAGGATGTTAGCTTTTACTCCTTAGCCACCAGTAAAGGCACTTGCTGCCTAAACTTTCTTTTACTCCTATTAGGAATTAGCATACTCTTTTTTCCTTTTTCTTTTTGGATATGGGAGCTCTAGTAAACATTGTTAATTAAAAGCAAAGTCCTGGACAGAACATCTATGGCTACCTGAGCATGGGTGCTCTACTATGATTTGATTTTTTGAACTGCTCTGATGTTAGATGAAGAGCCCTTTTGCATTCACTGTAGCAAATTGTTTAGTACTGATTTCTAATAAAAATGTTTTAACTAGCCTTGGTTAAAAGGAATTCAGTTTCTGTGCTGAGTATAAGTCTCTTAAACTTTCTGCCACGTCATGATGTCCTCTCCTTCTCTTTGTCATTATGATTTCAGCAAGAATTTCCACACTTTTGATAAATTCACAATAGTAGGAAGCTGTAGTATGATATTTCTTACATTATTTTAATTCATTGTCCTTTCACCATGCATTGTGCCGAATAGCGGAGGGCTAGAACAAAATGGAGACTCAAGGTGTTTACTAAATCTTCTATATTTAGTGGTGCTTACTGTGTGCCTTTGGCTGCTGCTTCTGGGATTCAGTTGGTATTAATTTTTATTTCCTCTGAATTATCTTTGTCTTCAGTAGTTCTTTACAGGTATCAAGTTATTTTCAGGTTATTCCCATTTCACTCTAGTCTAGATCCTGAAATGTCATAATAGTCAATTATTGTGCTTGGGTGATATCTCTCTGCTCATTTGTTTGAAGAAAAGCTATAAGAAAAAATAACACTTAGAACTGAGATTTTTCAGTTTTTCAAAATGTGTAAGAATCAACATTTTCCTGTAAGACTACTTTAGACATATTTTTAAGCTTTTTTGCTTTTAGTAGTTTCTTTCCTATATATATGTAACAATTTTGTTTTAAGTTCTTCACACTGGCTGTATAGAGGAGTCTGTAGTGGGGTTGTGTGATAGAGAGCAAATGCAAAGTGTAAAAATTCACTGTATATTCTTTAATGTATAATTTAGAAATGGTTTTCTCTTTTACTTTCCTCTGTTTGTATGTATTTAGGAAATGGAGCAATCCATGAATATGTTGAATTCTAACCATGAGCTGCCTGATGTGTCAGAGTTTATGACAAGACTTTTTTCTTCAAAATCTTCCAGCAAGTCTACTGGCAGTAGCAGTAAAATAGGAAAAAGTGGTGCAGGAAAAAGGAGGTAGTTGTTTCTTTTCCTGGAACCACAATTTGCACAGCTCTGTGATGTGTTATCATCTGGATGTTCTGTGAAAGAACAGAAAGCCACTACTGTAACCTTGATTCAGTTTGAATTTTGAGAGGATACAACTGTAGCTTTTTAATCTATTTAAGTATCTTGTTCTTGAAATACCCGGGAGCATCACTTCTGTCTAAAATATGTAAGGTCAGTACTGATGATAATTTAACTCCTTTGTAGAGAATGACATTAAAGAATTTAAATTATGTGCAATATATTAATGATTCTTAAACAATACATCACTGTAAATAATTCGATTTTAAGAAATAGAAAACATTCTTTAATAATGGCAATGGTATAATTGTGCATTTCTTAATATTCAACACAACTGCTACATTTTTTCTGGAAAAAGTTTTTTTTTCATCAGTTGCAGATGTTTTCTTCCAGAATCTTAGTTTAACTTCCTATTTGATTCATTCCCAAATTTCTTTGATATTTTTTTCTATGGAATGCTTTGACGTTTCTCATTATTTAAGCCTTGTTTAGGAAAAGCCTCAGTGATAAACACATGTTCCTCTATTAATCTTACTTTTAAAAAGGATTCCCTGAGTACCTTGTATTGTAAAATTATAAAAGGTAATACAGTTCTGTGCTGGTATAACTAAAAAGAGCCAATTATTTGACATAGTTTGTCACTACAAACTTGGAATACAAGGCTAATGGAATAGGTTTTCATAATACTAACATCTGAAGAACAGAGCAATTATGGATTAATTGAGTACAATATTAATACTGAGGTAATTTATGTAATGATTAGGTTTTAACTCCCTGTTCTTGACAAAATAAGCAAAATAACTGACCTAGAAGCTTATATCTATTCTATGATTTTTATAGTCAAGACTAGAGAAAGTTTCAGGAAAAACAGTAATCCCTACTTTGTAGCTGAGAGAAATAATTTATTCTGCTTTTTTTGTTTTTTGATAGGTGTAATGCATGATAATTAGACATATTTATTCAAAGTCAAAAGCCACTAGTTTGCCACAGAAATATCTTTGCCCATAGAGCTAAGTAGACATCAACAAAATAATAGTCATAGTCCTTTTATCTCAGTTTCAATTCCAGTATCTCTAAGCTTAAGTGTTTTACAGCCACAGTGGAAAAAAATTGAGAGGTATTGTTTTGCTAAGAATAGAAATTAATGAATGTATGTCAAGGGGACAGTGCAGAAACAAAGACAGATAGGAACACAGCTTAGTCTTGAATCCAATTTCCTCGTTTCACAGAAAAAAAATGGAATAAAGTCATATTCCAAATGTGTTAAATGCAAATGTACATCATGGCACTTTACATAATTTGGTCATAGTATTGTAAAATTAATATATAACTTCCTCTTCCAAAATATTATATATATGGCAGGCTTGTTTGTAATTTCATGGGGGAATGACTAGATGGAGATTTAGTCTTTTGCATCCAAAGCTTGTAGTTTGTTAAATTGAGATTTCACATAATCAAACACTTGTATTTCTCTCAGCGCTGAAAACTTGTTCAAACAGTTATATGACAACAAAAACATTGTGAAGTGTCGGATTTGATTCTGCTACCCATGATTATGGATTGAAGGGTTAAAGCCACTCATTCTGAATTTTTTGACAGTCAATTTTTTGACAGTCAAGTACAAATATTTTGACAGATTCAAATACAATTGTGGGTTGTTGTTTTTTCATTCAGTTGTGTCAAATTCTCAGAGATTGCCTAAACATGTCCCTGCAGTTTTCTTGGTAAGGTTTTTCAGAAGTGGTTTGCCATTGCCTCCTCCTAGGGTTGAGAAACTGTGACTGTCCCACAATCACCCAGCTGGCCTTTGTACTCAGAGAGGAACTAGAACTCAATCTCCCATTTTGAAGTTGCAATAATTCACATTAAACAAGCAACTTAACAAAATAGGATGAAGGGAAAATAATTTGTTAATCATCATGGTTTAAATTTGCTTATTCACCTCAACATATTTAGCTTTTTTCTGTTTTCAGTAATGAATCATTTCACTTATGGTGGACTGCTTTAAATGAAGCAGCTAGACCAGGGGTAGGCAACCTTGGCTCTTTTATGACTCGTGGACTTCAACTCCCAGAATTCCTGAGCCACGAGTCATAAAAGAGCCAAGGTTGCCTACCCCTGAGCTAGACCGAGGAAGGTTTCTCTCGCACATATTAGATACATGGGGAAAATATTAATATTCAAATGCATGTAGCTAGAAAACTGTTCTAGTGGAATATTCTATCAATGTAGACTGATAAAATGAGTGAGAAGAGACTTTATTGGTTACCTAGTTCAAGGCTATGTTCAGCATAGGAAGTCACTAAATCATCTCCACTGAGTGGCCATCTTTGAAAACCTTAAGGTGTGAGGGAAGGACCTTTCACTGTTCCTGCCAGGCTGTTCTACTATCTAATAACAAAGAATGGGTCTGTTTCTTTCTGTATCTAGCAGCCGTTTAGGTGTAGACCACCATTCTATTTCACCTTAGTTTTCTCTTTTCCAAGTGCTTGGTTCCAGGCTTCCAGTCCTCCTAATACCTGTCCACTGAATTTGATCCAGCTTCTCCATATTCCTTTTTTAAAAATGCAGGGCCCAGAACTAAACACAGCACTCAAGCACATAACAACAAACAGTGCACTGGAATGATTGCCTCCGGTGATCCAAACACAATGCTTTTATTTATGCCATCCAAAAGATACATTGGTCTTTTGCTATGTGCACATCTTCATGTGATGGTTAGTACTCTTTAATCTTTTTTCACATACACTGTTGCCAGGCTACCTCATCTCAATACTGTGCATATATGTATGATTTTGCAAGCCTTTTAACTTGTTGGATTTGACCTGGTGTTCAAGCTTGTGGAGTTCATTTCAAACTATTGGCTTGTTCTTTAAACTGTTAGTTAATATTGCTAATGGTTCCATTTTTTTTCTCATCTTCAATGTGAAAGCCCTTCAGAATGATGCACAGTCATTTTTCAATATCTCTTAGGTGCAGTTGTTTGAGGTGTTATAAATCCACTGAACCACAATTCTATCTAGCTCACATTTATCCATCTTGACATCTGTTGTCCATTTCAGAAACTGTTTATGAGTTAGCCAAACAGTAAACAGTTCTTTCAGTTTAAGTAGAGATGTGGTAGGTTTTCTAACGATTCCATATATGAAGAATTTGGTTTGGGATGATCCAGCCTCAAACTGAAAGAGAGGTTATGGACTGAAACACAGTTGTTCTGAGCAGTTTGGCAGATAATGGCATGAAAAAGCCAAGGAACTGAGGAGAGGAAAAATTAGAAGGAGGATCCTAGGTGGGCAAACTGGTGAGGAATGTCTTTCCGTTGCTGCTAAGTCCATTGCAATTGGAAACAGGTAAGCAGGTCAATGGTGAAGGAACAATAGGTCTGTGAAAATCAAGGCCAACAGGCTGATAACATATGCTGTTCTGGGGGATCGTGAATGGAGAAAGAAGGTGATACATTTTGCCCTACTCACCATATACAAAAATTATAGGATCCCTCACAGTTTGTTTTCTGCTGAACTGCGGAAAATCCAAGACAAAATTTCAAAACAGAATGGTTTTGTTCTGGGTTCACACCAAAATGTGTTTCCTGTTTTATTCATATCCTGATACTGGAGTGGTGTTACAGGTGAGGCACTGAAAAAAAATATTCCATGAAATACAGAGTATAAAAAGTAGGTTTATACAAAGAAGTGAAAATGGCTCATTGCTTTTTAGCATAAAAGTTGGCAAAAACAAATGAGGTGATTAAAGCAATTGAAAATGCTATTTTGGGTATAATTGGAAGCATGTATTCCCAAGAATCCTTTCTTACCTCCCTTAGTGGGTAAAGAAAATTATATTTTATAATGATAGAAAGTGTGAATTAGGCTACCGTGGTTTGTTCAAATTATAATTAAAAGAAACCATAACTTACCGGTAGTTTGCTTGAACAGCACAAGTGCACAACTGAGAAAGACCTGTGTCACAAATTAAGCCAAGCCATAGATTGTTTTACCATGAATTATTTAATAAATTACAATTAACTCAGTTCATGCAACACATTAAGCCCAGGTCAAACATGCAATTATGGATTATTGTATTTCCATGGAAGTCTTCTCCCAATTTGTATCCTTATAAAGTAGATTAATTTATTCACAGAAATGCAAAAAATGGGCTGCTTGTCACTAGGAGCACACTAGAAGCTCATCTCAGGACACTCCTAACTTGTGGAACCATACCTGCATTAAAAGCATGCTGTTTCTAACTGGTAATAAATAAATGATTTCAAGCCTTTTTGTGGTGGTCTTGCTTGTTATTCTAAATTTTCTGATGCTTTAGTTCTTCTCTCAGTAATCTGATTCCTCACTCCAGTTGCTGTTCTCCTATTTTAATTTTCCCATGAAGTAATTTAATGCCTTGTTTATATATTTCATTTTGTTGCCTTTATTTGATATACATGCTACATCAGAAGGCAACAGTGAAAGACATTGAAATAAGAAAAGATACATTCTTAAAATGTGTTGCATCTTTTCCTTTCTCATTGAGGCTTCTTTAACAATATGGACCTGTTGTTTAGTTTATGACTAGGCTAATTTCTGTTTGTAAAAAATGGTTAAAAAGGAAAACACAGTTTCCAGAACTTCAAAGGAGACACATGCCATGCTAAAATGCTAATATAACCTTTATTAAGTAATAATTGAGCCTAAAATTCCAGGTAACAATTTTATTCAGCCTATATGCCACTCCAGTTCTGAAGAGACCAAACAGCTTACAGCACACTGACAAATAGGACTAAAATTAATAATGATAACCATTTGGAGGCAGTATGATTATACTCAGACCAAAACTGCTACTCTTGTCTCTCAAAGATAATAGGGAGGAAGTGGTCAGGTATTTGAAGGTAAGCTATTTTACATATTAAGCAAGCATAGGTAATGTGACTCCCTTCTTAATTGTTGTTTCTATATTGGCAGGTTAACTTCAAACACTCCTTCTTTTAAAATCCTGATCATACCTTCTGATTAATCCTATTCCTACGGAGCTTTTAGCCATCAATTCCACTTTGTTGACCCATTGACAATTCAAACATCGTCTTCATTTCAAAAGAACAGCTAGAAGCCTTTCTTCCATAGCAACTGTAACTAAGTTACACTCAGGGTCTCATGCCAATAGTAAATAAGCTAGGCATTTGGCCCACTCTCTTAAATTATAAGTTAAGTGGTTGCTTTCCAAATACA